TGCCACCAAGATTTCAAATACCAGTGGGATCACCCATGGTGGACAGGTTCAACAGAGCTTCCAGTCTATGAAAGACTAGGAGAAAGGAAGAGATGGTCCATTTCTTTATGAACTGCTCAGTGAAAATCATATAGATGGCAACCAAACATTGGTATTGTGCAGGAGTAGCAGGTTGGAAGGCACTCGAGATACGACTGGGGAAGAACTGTTTCCTTAAAGTAGTTTCGACCTTAGTGATATGGGAGGGGCAAAGCTTTTCAATTCTGAGTTTGTTGATAGGGCACAATTCACAAGGAGAATAAAGCAGCTGCAAACATCTCTCAATAATAATGTCAAAGATGAAGAAGTTGAAAAAATATTGCCACCTCAGCAGTCTGAAATTGATCAAATACACACAAAAAAAATATGCATTGATAATCATTGGTGATATTGGATAGCAAACGTTAGAAATAAGATAGTTAATTGGAAGATATGGCCTTGGTAATAGAAATTATGTCAGAGAGCTCATGGAAGAATTTTGCAAGAGCAATAACTTAATCATTGGAAATATATTTTTTCAACAACATAAATGGTGACTAAAACGTGGACCTTACCACAGGGAATGTATGGGAATCAAACTGACTACATCTGTGGGAAAGACAATTAAGAAACTCAATGTCAACAGAGAGACAGAGCAAGACCAGGGACCAACTGTAGAACAGACTACCAATTGCTCATAAGTAAGTTCAAGTTGAGGCTAAATATATTAAAACAAGTCCAAGAGAGCCAAAGAATGACCTTGAGTCTAACCCACTCAGATTTAGAGGCCATATCAAAGCAGATTTGACACATTGAGCACAAATGACAGAAAACCAGATGAGTTTTGAGGTAACATCAAGGACATCACACATGAAGAAAGCAAAGGGTCATTAAAAAGATAGAAAAGGGAAAAAAGAAAAAGACAAAAATGATGTCAGAAGAGATTCTGAAACTTGTTCTTGAATGTAGAAATAGCTCAAGCGACTGTAAGAAATAAAGGAGTAAAAGAGCTGACCAGAAGATTTCGTGAAGTGTTATAAGGAAATGTGTGAAGACTTGAAGCTAGAAAACCAAAAAAGAAGAACATACTCAGCATTTGTCAAGCTGAAAGAACTGAAGAAAAAATACAAGCCTTGAGTTACAATATTGACGGATTCTATAGCCACATAGGAGTCCGAGTGACACTATCAGGTAAGCATTGGTTCAAAACGACTACTCAACAGAAAGATGAGGCTGTCTGCTCCCATAAAGATTTACAGTCTTGGGTTTTGGTATGAGTTGAGATGAACTTGATGACAATACGTGATTAGGTTAGTGTGGGCAAAATAAAATGACACGGGAAGTATCATAAGAAAGTGAAAGGAATACACAGAGTCACCAAACCAAAAAGAATTGCTTGACACTCAACCATTTCATGCAGAGCATATAATCAAGAACTGAAAGTACTGAAGGAAGAAGTTGAAATTGCACCAAGGCTATAGCAAAAAGCACGGCTCCAGGAACTAACGGATATCAATTGGAATGTGTCAGCAAGCACTCACTTGTCTAGGCAAAGAAATTTGAACGACAGCTGCCTGGCCAATGGATTGAAAGAGATTCCTATTTGTACCCCATTCAAATAGGACACAACAGGTGACACAACAGAATGTGTGACACAACAAAAAGGTGACACGACAGAATGCAGAAATTATCTAGCAAAATCATTAATATCACGTGCAAGTAAAATGTTGTGAAGATAGTTTACAAATGGTTGCAGTAGGACATCGACAGGGAATTGCCAGAATGTCATGTTGGATTTAGAAGAGGACTCAAGAGGAGGGACAGCTTTGCTGATGTCCGAGGAGCTTGTGTGAAAGTGAAGACCAGAGCGCTGTTTACCTGTACTTTATTGACACGGCCAAGGCTTCAACTGTGGATCATGACGCTTATGGATCACATCCAAGGTATGGAAGTTCCAGGACATTTCATTGTGCCCCTGAGGAAGGTGTGCATAGATCAAGCGCCAATTGTTCACACAAAAACAGAGCAAGAGTCCATGATTCAGCTCAAGAAAGGGGTGTGTCAGAGTTGCAGCCTTTCACCATACCTACTCCATCTGTATGCTGAGCAAATAATCCAGGAAGGTGGACTATCGGCGTGGGGGGGTTGGGGGGTGAGCACAGCACCTGAGTTGGAGGAAGACCTGTGAAAGTGAAATGGGCTTGAGCCTTCAATATGATTACACCTCAACCCTAAGGAAACAAAGGTCCTTAAGTGGACCAATAAGCAACAGCATGATAAACAGATACAAGATGGGAAGTTGAGAAGGATTTGCTTTTACTTGGATCCACAATCAATGTCCATGGGTGTAATAGTCAAGAAACCGAAGGATGTACGGCACTAGACAAATCAAAATCAAACTTAATGTCCTCAAGTGGATGCTGACTTACAGCGACCCTACAGGGCAGGATAGAACGACCCCCCTGTGAGTTTCCAAGACTGTGACTGTTTACGGGAGGAGAAAGTCCCATCTTTCTCTCGAGGAGCAGCTGGTGGGTTGGAACTGCTGACCTTGCGGTCAGCTGCCCAACTCGTAAGCCCTATGGCACCAGGGCTGCACAAGATCTCTTTGAAGTGTTAAAGAGCACAGATGTCACATGGCTGGCTAAGAAGTGCCCGACCCCCTTTGATTTCAATCGGCTCACATGAACACGCAAACTGGCAAGACCGAAGAAGAATTAATGCGTTCAAATTAAGACATCAGCAAAGAATATTGAATGTCCCGTGGCTGCCAGAAGAACAGACAAATCTATGCTGGAGGAAAGATAGTCAAAAGATCCTTGTAATAGAGAATGGCAACATATTGTCTCTCATGGTTTTGCACACATTATCCTAGGAACCAGTCCCTGGAAAGGATGCCCTGCTTGGTAAAGTAGAGGATGAGTGACAACGAGGAAGGCCTCAAAGAGACGGATTCACAACAACTTGTAAGCTATGAGCTTTCAGCTCCTGGAATTTATGTTGTGTGTCGGGAGAAATTGTTCTTCGCTAAATTGCACAGACTTCTCTTTCTTAGTTGTCACCATTCTTTACATCACTTGACATCTTGTAGTTTTCGTCTCTTTTCCTTATGAGGTCAACGAAGCACAAACGACACAGGCTTCGATTCTTTAAAGCATTTGCTTGAGATAAATAACTTGTGTGGGCCTTGATGTTTTCATTCCAAATAGCTTTTGGTTGTGAGAAAACAAGAGATTCAGGGTGAAACGTACCAGGATTAGCTAAGGATGAGCTTCCCCCAGCAGGTCAGGAAACAACCTGATCCCCTGGTCATGGGATTTCCTGTGAAACAGTAATTTCCCCTAACCCCAGAGCAAGGTACGTTATAATGATGTTCTCAGTGGATGTTTGAAGAAGATGTGAGCTTTCACAGCTATGATATGATCAATAAAATAATGGTTGTCTCTGTTTCTTAGGGTTGCGATAATATATACCACAAATGGGTGACCTTAATGAACAGAAATTAATTTTCTCACAATTTAGGAGGCTAGAATCCCAAATTCAGGGCACTGGTTCAAGGTGGGCTGGGGTGGGGGGAGCCTTGGGTAGTGTAAGGATTACGAGTTGAACTGCTAACCACAATGTCAGCGTCTCCAACCCGCCAGTCAATCACGCCGCAGGAGACAGGTGGAGCTCTCTGCACCCTGACACACTGACAGCATCAGAAAGCCACTGTCCTACAGGTTACTGTGTATCGGAATGACTCGATGGCAGTGGTTTACTCTTCTTCCTGCTATTCTTGAAGATGTCCAGGTGGCATCTGTCTCCCCGTTTGTCCTTGCTTGCATCTGTGCCTAATCTGCTCTGATCTCAGAAATGATTAGCTTAACATACATCCGACACCGCTTTGGCCTCATTAACATAACCAAGAAAGCACTATTACCAAACAGGATTATATCCAAGGGCCTAGGAGTTAAGATTCACCATACATAATTTGGGGGTGGGGTGCAGTCGGGGTGAGGGGACAGGGCAGACCCAATTCAATCCATAACAACAGTTCATGCCTTTGACTTTCCTACTGTCAGTACTTTGAGTGGAGCCCTGACCTACATGAAGTCACTTTGCCTGTCCTCAGGAAGATAGTCCTGGTTAGAAAACTTGAGGAAGGGGTTCATGTTTTCTATCAAAAATTGGGCTTTCTCACGTTTGAGATTGTGTAATAGGGCAAAGTTTTTAATAAGGGGCTTAGAAGACTTTGCCCCTATTTTCTTAGGAAACGACACTGCTTTCGATCTTGAGACACAGTAAATAATGATGGAGAAACTCCTGTGGGAAGGGTGCATTAGCAACTTACTTCTCCACCCTTGTCTTCCCTTAGTTGGAATATTTTTAGTAGGACTAGTTTCTCTCTGAACATAGCCTGGGTACCTGGACGTAGGGCTACCTATTTGACCCATTTCAGGTTAATGCAGAAAGCCGGAGAGCCAATGCTGTGACTACTATAAATTCACAAAACAGCTAAGCTACTGACCTCAACTGTAGTTTTTTTAGCAATGACTTTCTAAATACCGCCACCCATTTGTCAGTTCTTTGCATTGGGGTGGCTTGCATGCTGTTAGGACCGCTGGAAGCTATGCCAAAACAACCCCATGGATCACAGCAAGATGTTGTTCAACATCTTGCTGTGATCCATGGGGTTGTTTTGTTAGCTAATTTTTAGAAGTAGATCATCAGACCTGCTGTAGTCTGAAGGCTCCATTAAACCTGTTCATCATGATCTATGAGTTGTTTGGTACAAATAAGAAGCCAGGATAAGGTACAGATGGAAACAAAGGGAATCAAGGACAGATTAACCCCCTCAGGGTTAATAATGAGAGTAGCAATACCAGGAATGTAAAGGGACAGTGGGATAGAAAGGGGGAACCGATCACAAGGATCTACCTATAACCCCCTTCCTGGGGGATGGACAACAAAAGAGTGGGTGAAGAGAGATGTCGGTCAGTGTAAGACATGAAAAAAAATTTATAAATTATAAAGGGTTTGTGAGAAAGGGGGGCGGGGAGGGAGGGAAAAATAACGAGCTGATACCAAGGGCTCAAGTAGAAAGCAAATGCTTTGAGAATGATGATGGCAACAAATGTGCAAATGTGCTTGACACACTGGATGGATGTATGGATTGTGATAAGAGTTGTACGAGCCCCCAATAAAATTATTTAAAAAAGAAAAAAACAATACAAAACATTTGCTTTACCTGAAAATCCTACTCAGGGGGTACGGGCTGTGGAATTTCCCTAGCTCTCTCTGTAACATCAATTGATGATCATTATCTGCATGGAAGGTAAAGCCCACCTCCCTGTTGTCCCTAGAACTGACTGATGGGGAAAAGGCAACTCTAGGTCATCCCGTCCTTTTTGCGAACAGCTGAATAGAGAACATGGAGAGAGAGCAATATACCAGGAATCAGGGAGAAGACTTTGATTCTTACTGATTTCAGACACATTTCAAAAAATTTTATTAACCAGGTTGTAAAACAGAAAACAAAAGATCCAGGCAGTTCATTTTCTGGGCCCGTGGCACTGAATGCTGCCCCCACCACTCTGGGGTGTGGAAGGAAAACGAGGGGAAGGATGCCAATCTCAGCTCGGGGTTAGTGGCCTGCTGGTTGTCGGAGGAAGAGAGATTCGTCAAAATGGACCGGTAAGCCATTTTCGCAGGCGACCACAATGTCTCTGAAGCCTTGGGTGGCTCTGTACCGGCAAGGTGGCCGGGGGGACCCTCCCACATGTCTGCACGTGGTGATCTGGAAAGGAGACTTGCTTCGCCTTAAGTTTTCTCCGTGTGGGATTCCATTCTTAGTTCCGCAGATGGCCTTGATGCTGCCCTTCTTGTAGTGAATGAAGGTGTTGATCTCTTTGCAGGGCGTGGTCAAGCCTCGGATCACCATCATGCTCTCGCAGTATCTGTCATTCCGGCCCCGCGGGTTGCCATCATAATGCTGGCTCAGGAAGTGTTTGTACCTGGCGTTATCTTGAGTCAGGGGTGGGGGGGTCAGACCCAGCGCCAGCATGAAGACCAAGAACAGGAGTCCCAGACTCATCACCATCTCTTCCAACAGAGGGCCCTGCCAAGGGCAAAAGGAGGTGTAGGAGGGGCATAAAACAGCATTGCAAAATTAGGCCGGAAGCATAGGGACTGTTTTCTTTGACAGGGTGTATCATGAACCAGGGATCTGCAGGCACCTAGTCATTTCTCCTTTCCCTTTCTTCAACGCCACGTCTCCTGTCGAGCTGCTTCTTTGACAAGTCTGCTTTCTAGATTCTTGGGCACAACGTCCGGCCCCAACCATTCTTTCTTTTCCACGAGGATCACTGAGTAGTGACTGTCCTATCAGCCTTCGTATTGCCAAGCCCATTCACATCCCCTAAATCCACTTGTTAATTAATTTAGGGACAAATATGACCTCAGCCTTCCGGAGTACCAAACCCTGTGCTAGGTCTTGGGAATACAAGGCCATCAGGACCCACCGAATACCTCCTCCCCAAGGAGCCTGGGATATCTTTGGGGAAGGAGAGCTCCAGTTTACTGAGCTAAAGCGGTTCCCTAGAAGGTGAGCTCTGGGAAGATTGGGAAGACAGAGAAAGACGGCTCACAGGCTGGCTGGTGGCCGAGCCCCAGGGCGGGTCAGTTAAGCCATCTGGGAAAAGAGCAGTTTCCCGCTAGCTTTTACCTCCCTTTGAAATAGGTGGCTCGTGCCTGAGAATGACAGTCCTGTGCACTCTCTGGAAAGGAAGGAAGAAGACCCTGGAAGAAGCAAGGCAAAGCTTAGAAGTGGGTCTGGAGTCCATTCTCAGCCCGGGATTGGAGGAGGGAGTCAAGCATCTTCTGTTATCATGAGAGCTCTTTCACAATTCAGAAAATAGGGTCCACGGTTTCTTCCTTCTGAATATATATACAGAAAGAGTCACCGAGCAGGCTAAGGATGTTACCAAAGAGTAAAAGAAAAGCAACTCCATAGACCTGGTCATCAAATCAAGGCCTTCCACTTTGCAGTGATGTTTCATCAACGTCTCTCTCTAAAGAAGACGAAGAAATGGATTCCTGGCACAATCGCCCAAGACTTGTCCAATGGCAGAATGCACGCATCTCAGGTGGGGGGTGGCATGTCAGAGACATGCAAACGCAGGGTCAACATACGGCTTCTCCCCTGGAGCATCATTTTAGCTCACTGGTGGATGATTTAAAACATAATCAAGCAAATATGGGCTATAAGGAAACAGAAGCAACTTTCAATATACTATTCCTACGAGATAGGCCGATTTGGGAATGGAAGGGTATTTGGCACTTGCCACTGGTAGTTCAGGTCATGCCCTTCAAGTCATATCCTCCAGAGAGGATATGTTCACTGTTCTCTACCCTCACGAGTATGGTAGGAAACATTTTCTTTCTTTTATTAATCATTTTATTGAGGGGGGCTTTTATAAATCTTATAACAATCCATCATTCAATTGTATTAAGCACATGTATATATATTGCCATCAACATTTCCAAAACATTTTCCTTTCTACTTGAGCCCTTAGTATCAGCTCCTTTTTTTACCCCTCCCTCCCCCTAGGAATGATTTTAAAGAACATATAGAGCCTTTAAAAATCATCTTAATTAGGTCTTCTCCACATTATGCCAAACATAAGAGTCTGCTCCCACATCTAACAATAAAGATGATTTTATGCTGCAACTTTTAAATCATTTTGATTTTAGAATGGTTTATGAGTAAGTAATTTACTTTATGATTGGCTATAATCTGCCAGTAATCATCACACCTACTAAGAAAAACCTGGCCTTTATATTCTTCTTAAAGTGTGATGAAATTCTTATGAACTCTAAATCGAAAAATAAATGTAAGTTTTTCATAGACATATAATTTTATGTTAATATGCACATTGTCTCTTTGCACATGTGGAGTCAATGAACACTATTTTACATTTCATAAATATTTTGGTAGCCCTTAAGAAACGCCATGGGCCCCTCATGAAGAGATCACTGAGGATATGGGTGCTACAGCAAAGTATGGTGAAGAAACTAGATGGTGCCCAGCTGTCAGAAAGACTAGCATCTGGAGTCTTAAAGGCTTGTCTTTTTTTTTTAAGGGGTAGTTTTTATTGGTCTTTAATGTCAGAATTGGTACTTTTTTCAAAGGCTTGTCTTAAAACAAGCAACCAACTAAGTGAGGTGTCACCTGAGTCCACATGGGAGAAGCACACTGGCCTGTGTGATCCAAGGATTGTAAATAATAACATCTAAACCTGAAGGAGAGAATGGTATCAGAGCTCAGATTGTGAACACCTGACCACAGGAGGCCATGGGTGAGAGTGAAAGCCCGGAATTCATTTGCAGGGTCCATACAATGGATTGAGCCATCCGTGTATCCTCTCTGGCCCTAGTCCAGGAATGTGAATAACCTTAATGACAGAGAGCATGGGAAAGTCAATTATGAGGCAGGGAGCCCTGGTGGTGCTGTGGTCAGCAGTTCAAACCCCCCCTCCCCCAGCCACTCCTTGAGAGAACGATGGGATTTTCTTCTCCTGTAAAGTCAATTACAGCAGATGGAGTCAGGTTGAAAAGGAACGCCTTATCATTTGTTCTCCCTTTTGACCCATTTTAAAGTTGTTTCAGTTTTTAATATTTTCTGGGGTTTTTTTGTCTAGTCATTTTTGTTGGTCCTTTTTGTTTTGATCTGCTTTTGCTTCCTGATTGTGTTTTATATGATTTTCTGTATGTGAAATCCAGGATAGGCGGATCTATAGAGACAGTGACTGGATTGATTATTGCCTAGGGGTGTGGCAGGGGAGGTTGGGGGAAATGGGGAGCTTAACAATGAGTACAAGAAGAAAATGTTCTGAAATTGTGGTGACGATTGCACAAATCTTATTGATACGCTTGAAAAATAAAGTTGTATGATATGTGAGGTATATGTTGATAAACCTTTTTATAAAATAAAGGACCGTGGGCTCTAGCAGCACTTGGAGTATTATGGTAAGTCTGGAAGGATACAGAAGTCCTTGGTTACAAGGGAAGGCATGTGCCGGAGTGAATTTCCTCTCTAGTCAGCATCTAGTGTTGTTCCACTTTGTCTGTCTGTTTGTTTATAATAACCATAGAAGAATTTGGTGCACTACTGAAGAATACTAAGTTATTAACTAAGGGATGTTTTGGTTTCTCACAATAGTGAAATGTAAATAGCAGCTGGAAATTTTTAATTGAACACATACATTATAATTTGTAATCAAATCAAGTCTGAAGGTATCCATGAAAGCTTAGAAGGAAAGCAATGTGTGACTGCAGAGGGAGAGCCACAGCTAAATGACTCTGTCCTCGTACACTGTCACTGTTCCAACTAGCTGCTGGGCTTCCTTCTGAGCTACCTCTGTACTGAGCTCTTCACATGGACATTGTGTGTTCCTTTCTCCTGGGTGTGTTGTACACTTCCTAGTGTTTTGCAAAACCTATCAAAGTTATATTGATCTATAATCAATTAAGTCTGTGGCTCTGTAAAAGCAAATATTGGTTTCTTTAACATCAAAGGCAATTGTTGAATCAAAGGCTCTCAGGATCGGAAGGGACCTTAGAGGTCACATAGCTCACAGCCCTCTGCCTGGAACCAGAATCCCAGAGTTAAAAAATCAGGAAGTAGAATAAGCACTGATAGCACCCCCAAAGAGTCATTGGGTGGCAGTGGTGGATAAGAATGTGGCTGATGTGTTTCTAGTTGTCCAAGAGTTAGTCTAACCTCATAGAAGGTGCCAGCATTCACAGAAGGGAGTCCAAGTTGGCAAGCTTGTCTAGAGTCTCTATCCCAACTCCCTGTGATTTAGAGATTAAAACCAAAGATTCCTTGCTAGCTATAAATGCCCAAGGAATGGCAGCAAAGCTCAGGACATTGCAAAAGAAAGATCTCCCCGGTGATCAGGTTCATGGTGTCCTTTCCAAGGATGCCATTATCCTCATGATCTTGGACAAATAGTCACCTATTTACTTGTCAGAGTTACTTTCTGGTGTATGATCTGCAGTGGGGCAGAGTCCGTGTTATTCACCCTTGAATCACAATGCCTGCTCCTGGGGTTGGCCCACTCATAAGAACCCTACAGGACTGGGATGACCGAGGTTGTGATCTTTACAGAAGCAGATTGCCACATCTTTCTTGCAGGGAGCAGCTCAATAATTAATTTTTTTAATGGTTGACTTCATGTTCTTCTCCAAGCTTAAGTCTGTCAGTCTGCCAAATAAGAGCTGCTAGCTCTTAAAGTCTGACAGTCAATGGTTCGCCTGAAAGATAAGAAATCATTTCCTAGTTTCATCAGTAGGTCAGTGACCATGAAATGTCAGAGATGTGTTTCTTTAAGTTCAGTTGGTGGTGCAAAGCACCAGCTAGGAGATACGGATGACAAGGCGACATGCAGTCCAATCGCTCGGAGACACATCGTCCCTTAATACGCAGTATGAAAACGGAGCCCGTATAGCACCACCAGTGAAGGCATTGGAGTGATATTCCATAAGGTTTTGCCTCCTAAAAGGCCACTGGCTCTTTGGGGGTGGAAGGCCCTTCTATCCCCCTCTGGAGAGGTGAAGTGTATTTTTGTTCTGATTTATCATTTGCACATTCATCTCATAGCAAGTGCCTTAGGCTTATTGTAATATTGATTCCCTAAGACATCTAGAACCCTAATTTCAGATTGCCTTCACTGTGGCCAACATCTGTTCTCTACTCACAACTTCCTCATGCAATATTCTATTCTAAATTTCCCCCCAAAAGGATTGAAAAAAACCCAACAACCCCAACATTATTTATAAGGCAGGAATTAATCTCCCTAGGCCAAGGCAAGACTACCGGCCTTTACATCTTGATGATTCTGTCTAACTCCCTCCCTCTAGCCTGAGTGACGGCCAGTTTTTCATCGGTTGAATTTGTCCCACTTGTTTTTCAGACTAACTTTATCCCATTCCCTAGTCTTCACGAGAATTAATATTCAGTCTCTTCTTCTCAAACAATTGTTTGTGTTTAAGAAAGCCACCATCAGGGAGTTAATTGGCTGCTTACAGTTATCATTTCCATAGATGTAAATTCACATGCTTATATATTCTAGAGCAATATCCCTAAAAGTGAAAACATAGCATCTAACCCTACTTCCCTCCCTGCCTTCCTTTCCCCCTGCCAGAGTACTCCTTCCTGCGTTTTTGAGATGTAGTCTACTTTGTTTTCAAAGAGCATCCAAATCTTTTTTAAGGACAGGAATTACCAGAGGAGTGAGAAGGCAGCAGTGCTAAGAAAGGACACTTTCTGCTGCTCCCTGGCTATGCCGCACATATTGCTGGTGCCCAGGGCTCCAGCTGCATCTTTGGGGGCCTTCTCACAATGTCAGAATCTCTCCTAAACCTGCACTTGCTCGCCTTCTCACTAATTTCCCATTGTCCTGATATAGACCACCCCCAAAGAAAGTTATTTTCGTATTAAACTTTAGACTCTAATTTTCATTTTTCTTGCCTCATGAGCTTGGACCCAGAAGCTTTGAAGGGGAGAATTGACTTCGCTAAAATTGATGGAAGGCCTGAAATAGTATCTCTACAAACAAATATAACAATAGAGTACCCAGGAGAAGACACTTACAAAATGCTGGCTGCTTCCCTTTAACTGAAGTTGGGCTCCAGTTCTTTGATCCTGGATTCCAGATGTGTGGTCCTGGAGGCCCCTCCTATGCAGATTATAAAGTGTTCAGATGAACGGGGTGGGGAGAATAGAATCGACAATCCCCAATCCCTGGCAGAGACCTGGAAATCAAGGGCGCTGCTCTGTGATCATCGAGGGCAGTCATTCCCCTTATGATTGGGTCAAATATTAACCCTCTGAAATGGGTTAGAGATGTGTTTTGAAAGGCAAAGTTTGATAAACACGGTGTTTTGTCCAGAATCTGCCTTCTTCTGGTGCCTGTGGCTCTTACTCTTGCCCATGACAGCACCACCACGGCTTCATCCAGACACGCAATAAGATATCGCCTCTGCGACCTTATTGCCAACTCCAAGAACCGAAGAAGCCCGAAAATAAGATTTGATCTCCCAGCAGGCTGCTTTCCACTGCATTTGCTGAGTCCACATATGTAGGTTGCAATAAAGGATGATAAGCTGGTTACTCCATAGATTTCACAGCCAGGAAAGCATTTCTAAGAAGCTGTGTGACAGCTTAGTCCTCCACCTCTCATCTCACTGTCCCGGTCACTAAGCTCCAGAAATATCTGTGCCATCTTCTTATGCAAAATGAAACAGAATGTAAAGATTTGAAAAATGTTGATCCATAAACATTCATGTTTCCTAGAATGTTCATCAAGGACATGATGACACAAAGTCTTGTTAAAAAGGTTAAGCCTGTAACTGATGGCTCCACCCACCTGGCGGGGACAGAGAAAGAACAAAACGAAAGAGCACTGACTGCATCTTGGGATTCTACAGGCAAGAAACAAGGTGTGGGAATTACGTAATCTGGTATCAACTTCAGACTATTAAAAGCGAAGGGTAGAGTTTAGCCTGTCAATCAGTTTGCAGCTTGATGACCTCATTTGGAGGTGCCAAGGAGATAAATAGCTCACTAGAGGCCAGACTCAGAGTCTCTGCTTAGTCGTCCTGCTGACAAGACACATGGAGCTATGCTGATGGAACTAGAGCCCTGGAGCATGAGAAGCCATGTGGAGACCCACGCCAGTGCTGAGATGCTTCCACCACCACTGCATCCACAAGACTTTCCACCCACTGGCCTGTGTTCTTCACGCATTCAGTGTCATTGCATGTGCTGCGTAAATCTGAAGAGGAATTTATAAACTGGTATCAGACGTATGGGCTAATATCGGATTTATGGACTTGATCTGGACAGGGTTAGGGTGTTTTCTCAGTATACAATTGCTCTTTTATATAAAACTCTCTTACACGCATATGAGTGTCTATGAATTTGTTTCTCTAGTCAACCCAGACTAACACACAAGGGATACATCTGTGTTGCCCGAGAAAAGAAGATCATCATCCCTGGAGCTGCAGAACTATTGGAAGGAGTCTGAGAAGCAAGGTCTTCTTGGGTTTCGTGGGTGGGGTCATGGTCTCCTGGATCTCAGGTTCCAAAACGTCAGCTCTTCACCAGGTAGGTTTGTAGTGTGAGGCTGCTCTTAAGGTATAGCAGGGATATGGGGCCACTGCTCAAAGTGGAGGATGTGGGACCACCATGTTCAAGAGGCAAAAGAACGGGGCCTGCAAAGACTGAGGGGGTAGGTTAGAAGAACAGGGTCACCTAAAGGTGAAGGGGCACAACTGCCATCCCAGTAGGCCTGGAAGGCAGAGCTGAAGCCTAGGGCAGCAAGCTTCAACCCAGAATCCAGAAGGTGTGGCCAAACGTGCAGTCTCAGAAAAGCGGGATGACGGTCCAGCCCTGAGAGCTGATGCAAGTTGTTGGGCTGGGTTTCGAACTTTCTTGGTGCCTGCATTCCTGTCTCTCCCTCCAATTTTCCCCATTTGTAATGGAAATGTCTGCCATGTTCCCTTTCTATCATTGTGTTTTGGAAACAGATAACTTGTATTCTAGATTTCATAGGTTCACAGATGAAGAAGAATTTTGGCCCAAGATTGGCCTAAAGTTTCCTTCATATTTGGTTTAGATGATTCAGAAGCTAATGTTTCGAACTGGAAGTTGATTTTCAAAGACTTGGATGATGTGAATGAGTTTTGCGGATAGCAAGGACATGGAGACAGGGGGACCATAGGGTGGGGTGTTATGGATTGAATTATGTCCCCCCCAAATATGTCCTGTCAATTCTAGTATCTATGCTGATAGTCATAATCCCATTTGGGAGTGGCTTGTCTTTGATAGATTAATGAAGCAGGAATGGTGAATGGGTGCCTTGAGTCTCTCTCTTTGTAAATATAAAAGAGATTAAACAAGCAGACAAGAGAGGAGAGGTGGGGTAAGATAGATGCCGAGACACATGGAACTCTCCAAGGAAGCAGGAAACAAACTAAGGAGATCTTTCCTATAGAACAGCGGTTCTCAACCTATGGGCTGCGACCCCTGTGGGGGTCAAACGACCCTTTCACAGGGGTCGCCTAAGATCATCGGACAACACATAAACATTTTACAATATATAATTACATATTGTTTTGTGATTAATCACTATGCTTTAATTATGTTTAATTTGTAACAATGAAAATACATCTTGCATATCAGATATTTACATAATGATTCATAGCAGTAGCAAAACTACAGTTATGAAGTAACGACAAATATACTTTTATGGTTGGGGGAGTCACCACCACACGAGGAACGCGGGTCACGGCATTAGGAAGGTTGAGAACCACTGCTCTAGAGCCAACAGAGAAAGAAAGCCTTCCTCTAGAATAAGACCTCTGAATTCAGACTTCTAGCTTCCTGAACTGAGAGTAAAACCAAAGTTCTGTTTGCTAAGGCTACCCACTTGTGATATTTCTGGGACTGCAGCACTAGGTAGCTAAGGGGAGAAAGAGGAGGCTTTCTACGCCTAGGAAAGAGTTACACTCTGGGAAACCCACAGGGGCAGGTCTATCCTATCCCACAGGGTTGCTATGAGTCAGCATCGACCGGATGGCAGTGCGTTTGAGTCACGGTAGCTAAGGCATTGCTTGCCAGTAAAAAGACTGTACTTCAAATCATTATAATAATCAGTGTCAATGAACACCTTGCATTTTATGAAGCTCACACCTATATGGTTTCATTCCATCCTCACCGGGGCTGGGTGAGGTGAGCGATGTTTGTCTAGGTTTTGTTTGTTTGTTTAATGAGGAAGTTCCAAGATCAGACAGGCAATAAATAGTCATCAGACTGCAAGCCCCGCATCTTTCCAGGCTAGACTTGAGCAACTTTCTCTATGAGCCTCCTCGTGCTGACCTCCTTGGTTCTGCTGCACCATAACAGAGATGGCCGACTGCTTTCTTTGTGGGTTCACCAAGCTCAGCACACCCCTCTACTAAGGCAAGCCTGGAGTCCTCAGGGGTCCTCAGAGGATGGCTTAAGTTGCATGAGCCCTAAACTTTTAGATGTGTCTGAAAGGCTGGTAAGTCAGCCTCAGAGAAGTCTATTTTTGTAGATTTCGAGTCTCATCCTAAGAGAATAAATATTGCGGGGGCAAGAGAAACAGATAAAGGGCATGGAGGAGTGTCATGGAGGGGTGTAGAGTATGTGCAAATTCCCTTCTGATCCAGCCCCCTGGGCCCTAGATAGAGGAGGACATGGCAATAAAAAGAAATGAAATATCAAGGTTGCTTCATGAACTTTTTACAATCCAGTGTCTAGAATAATACTACAAGGTTGGCAGTCAAAGTATCTTCCCCCACATTTGAGGATCCTTTGGGGGCACATTTGAGTGTAGTCTGGAACATTAGCTGGAGCATCGGACTAAATCACGTACACTCTACAGAAGAAAAGGGCACACTGTGTTGGCATCTTCAGCTATTCTCAGCCGTGCTGCCCCTTTCTATGACAATGACGGCCCTCATTCAGGGGGCTGGCGTGGGAAAGGGGCGAAAAGGCAACCTTCTTGCAGAGGCTAGAAGGGCTATTCCACCAGCATGTCGGCAGGCTTCTGGAAACTTCCCAAGTGCTCCGAGAAGAACATGAGCTGATCTAAAGTCTCCTCTAGGTGGGATGGATCTGGTTTTCCTTCAGGTTGGTGTAACCAGGGAAACATGGGCTCTTTACGATCCGTCTGTGATGACGACTTGCTCTCCTTCCTGTGCTCGCCTCAATCCATTTGACGGAACTCTCAGAGAAGAGAGTCCTGGTCTTATTCCTACCATTTGAAACAGTGACTGATACCTGGGAATTGACCATCAATTGCTTGTGAACTAGACGAATTCCTTTTCCAGACTATGAGCCTCAGGATCTTTTTCTTATTCCTCATTGCTAACTATGGGAACCCCTTTGGCTTCTCTTAATGTTCATAAACACGAATAGGTTTGGAAGCAGTTAACAACAAGGCAGGCCTGGTTACCAGGTAGAACCAGAAGCTTTCAACGTTCTCAGGGAAGCTTTGCTTCTTCTAGCTTATTGGTTAATTCTGAAATTCCACCAATAAGAGTATAATTTCATTTTCAGATATTGGATTCCGTTCCAATACAAACCCCCCTAGGAGGGCAGACTCTTTAAACAGCTATCATTAGTTTACACGTCCTTGACCATTTACTTTAGAGCAGCGGTTCTCAACCAGTGGGTCATGACCCCTTTGGGAGTCGAGTGACCTTTTCATAGGGGTTGCCTGATTCATAACAGGAGCAAAATTACAGTGATGAATTACAATGAAAAAATGTTATGATTTGGGGGTCACCACCACATGAGGAACTGTATGAAAGGGTCACGGCATTAGGAAGGTTCAGAACCACTGCTTTAGAGCCTAACTGAAGAAGAATTTTTGGTAAGTGCAGTTTTAAAGAAAAGTGGACAAGCAGGGGCAATGTGGAAAAGGGCAAGTCCCCTACCTTAAGCTTCACTGGGGCCCAGCTCCGCCTGGTCCCTTTCCCCAGACACTTTTCTTGCCTGGTCTTCTCTTCTCTTCCGGCCACCCCAACCAAATGCTGAGCTAAAAGAAAGAGCAGCTCAAAGAGTCTGGAGGAGAGGACTTAGCAAACTGTCACAAACTGACTTTCCCTCAGTCCCAGGGGCCTCCATGTTCCTGGAGTCTCTAAAAAGGGACAGGCAAACTCTGGCCAGTACATCTAAGCTCCACATGTTGATGGAGCAAAGAGAAGTAACAAGAGTTGGGGGCCATCGAGTGAGGCCTGTCCTGGCAACTCTGTGCCCAGTGTCAGATGACCCAATAAGCAAGGTAAGCACAGACTTGCTTGTTTACTAATTGTTACTACAGTGAACAATTTCACATTTTGTCACTACATTAAAGAGTCGGCATCTAGCTATGGCTGGCATTTGCCTGTCTCCCCGCCCCACAGCACTTCCCTATAGAATCAAAGTTTCTTTTTCAATTGACAACCCTTGACAGGGACGAGGTACCCAGTAAGCATGGGAAAGCCAGGTTTACCTTGCTTAGTAGGTTCTCTTTCATCCTTGAGTGTGCCCAAATGTCCTCTCTCTTCTTTGGGGGAAAGTATCCCATCTGAGAACAGTAGACCCATTCTCAATTACTCACCTGTTCACTTTTTAAACAGATGTTGAAACAGAGTTCTAAAGAGTTCTCAACCTGAAGCCTTCGGCTGCCTATATACTAACCACAATAATCATCATAACACAATGAACAAAGTTCTCGTTGGGGCATTTGGTTAGGGAGGACAGCCGCCAGGCCCATTGCATCCCCCCCACCCCCCACCCCACCCCACTGAATCAGCAGTTCCCAGTGGAAGGAGCAGCCCACTCCTACAATCTAGAAGGACTTGATCAACACAGCCCTTGTCTAAGAACTCGCCCCACAGCAGAGATGGATGACTCGGCCACACCATACACCACACACCACACACATGGGGTCCATGGCCTGAGGGACCACCTCACCCAGAGAGTGGCCTCTGCTTTTAGAGTTGTACACCTGTGCTGGGGAGCGGCCTCCTGCCTCTTGACCTCCACAAATTCCTCTCCAAGGGCATCACAACCTGCCCACATAGTTGTCAATGCAAAAGAACCAGTCAGATGAATGATAGAGTTGCTGTTCCACCGCCCCCACCACCACCCCACTTTTGTTTGTTTTTCTTTCTCATCTTGGCCCAGTGAGCTTATGTTGAAACAGAAAATAGGATTTTGAAAAAACAACTTGGAAAAATTTCACTAAAATGCATCTAGTATTTTTTTAAAAGCCAAACTCACTGCTATTGAGGCAATTCTGACCCACAGCGACCCTGCAGGACAGGGTAAACGTGTCTCTAAGCGTGGCACTTGAGGAAGACAGGGCTTTCTACTCCTGTAATGCGTTACAGTCTCAGAAACTCATGGGCACGTCTACTCTGTCCCATAGAGTCACTGTGAGTCGGCACAGACTCAATGGCAGTGAGGTTTGTTTGGACGCATGAAAGGTTTTCCATTAACAGAAGCAATGGTTGAAAACATGAACCGCTGAAGAGAAGGGTTGCGGAAGGCTCACGGAGCAGGGAGACTATTCATTCAGGCAAACAGGGGGC